GGGGTATTGGTAACAGCACGGCCATCCCCGCACAAGGGGGCCTTTCTTAAGCTGCTGGCAGGTGGTCCTGCCCCAGAGTGGTGGTTGCCCCGATGGGAAACCTTTTGGCAGCACAGAGTCTGGGGCGCCGTGGCTGTGGTTCAGGAAGTACGTGTGCGTGTGTGTTCATGTGTCTGTGTGCGTGTGCACGTGTGTGGTGTGTACATACGCTTACCGCTCACGAGCAGTTGGTGGAGAGCTGTGGGCACAGACCCTCTTGTTCCTTCCTGTCTGTCTCTGTCACAGCTTCTGTGCGTGGCACGGAAGGGGGCAGCGGCGCCCGGCCACCGAGCGCAGCGCGTCCACGCTGTGGGAGCGGGTCTTGGGCAGCGTTTGGGATCCATTTTCATGCTTGTCGGAAACATTTGGAAGAAATTACTGTCCTGTAATTGAACATTCCTGGATGTGTGTGTTTTCTTTGAAGCAACCTCCGTAAGCTTAGGGAAAAGTGATCGTTGCGCCTCCTCAACAGTGGTCTGCATCGGACTGTCTCGTGTTATTTTCTTGCTTTGCTGAGCCTGAAACCTTGAAAGAGAATGCTGGAAGTCTGGAAGGAAACCGGCGATGATTTTCCTTCCCCTCTTCAGGAGCCCACACACACAAGACCAGATTCTGTCATAGGCGGAAAGAAAGAGATGAGGGGCTGTTCTGTGGTTCTGATACAGCTGCCACGTTCTTAAGGAGTTACATCATGAGAATCACTTTTTCTCCTGTGGCGTTTTGGTTTCCAAGGAGGTATTAGCAGCAACAGCATATGTGTATGTGTGCATGCACATGTGTGTGTGTGCCTGCGTGTAAGAGGTGAGAGAGGCAGAAGGAGGGGGGAAGAATGTTTGTGTGTGTGTGTGTGTGTGTGTGTGTGTGTGTAGTCCAATTTGCCCAATCTTAAAAAGCAGGTGGTGACACCATCATGCCACATTGCCTCCAAGGCAATGTGTCTAGAAGGCAACACAGCCAGTGCAGACATGTAAAAACATACCCCCACGTTACAGGTAACTTATCTCACTGAGCCTCAGTCTCCTCATCTATAAAATGGGTTTCTAAAAATTATATAAATTCTTTAGCTAGAGCCTGGCACGAAGTAGGTGTCTGATAAACTGTGGCGATGGCAGTGGTCATCAGACTGCGTGTGAGCTGCTTAAGGCCCAGGGCTGGTCTGACTCAGCTCTGCGCAGAGCAGGGCTTGGGAAAAATTTTACAGAGTTTGCTGAACGGATGAGGAAGTGAGTAGGAGGCAAGGAGCTGGTTGCTGTGGCTGTGGTGTTAGGGCCATCACGGTACCATAAACCCCACGGGGAGCCCTGCCTTATTCACTGCTGTGTCCCTGTGCCCTGTGACTCTGTGATGGACACAGGGCTGGGGAGGTGGCAGGGGACACCTGTGGCTGGGGCCCCACCCATTCCCGGGGGCCTCTGTCCACATGTTGCCCTCCCCCTCCGCCTGTCCTTGACTTGGAGTGCGCCCTCGTCTTTAAGACCCTGCTCCATGGCTCTTCTCAGTGATGTCTTCTTCCACTCCCACGGGCGTTAGTCACTCCCTTCTTCCTGCTCCATTGAACCTACCGTCTGTTGCAGCACATGTCCTGTAAGTAGCTCCTTACTTGATTTTCTCCTGCCACTACCCTGCAGGACCCTTGAGGGCAAGGCTGTGTCATCTCCAACCCCGAACCCTCAGAATTGGTCCACCAGCAGTCCCAGTGGGTGGGTATTGCATCCAACGATTGGACCACTGAGCAGCACCACTGTTAGGCCCCCATCTACCCGTTCACAGCAGCCCCAAACTTAGGAGCCAGCCTTGGTTTCTCTCTTCTCTTTCTCCCCCTGCATGCAGTCCATCAGCAAGTCTTGTCTCTTTTACTTCCAAACACCTGCCAAATCCACTTCCTTCTCCCAGTGGCCAGCAGTCTGAGCCATTGCCATCTCTTGCCTCCTAACTGGCTTTACTGCTATTTTCGGCATCTCCAATGCAGTTCTCCACATAGTACCCAAAGTGATCTTCAAAAACAATGCATGGCCAGGTGCTGTGGCTCACCCCTGAAACCCTAGCACTCTAGGAGGCCAAGGTGGGAGGATTGCTTGAAATCAAGAGTTCAAGACCAGCCTGAGCAAGAGTGAGACCTGTCTCTACTAAAAACAGAAAAAATTAGCCATGCGTGGTGGTGTACATCTGTAGGCCCAGCTACTCAGAAGGCTGAGGCAGGAGGATTGCTTGAGCCCAGGAGTTTGAGGTTGTAGTAAGCTAGGATGATGGCACAGTGTTCTAGCCCAGGTGACAGGGGTAGACTCTATCTCAAAATAAAACAAAACAAAACCCGGTACAGATCAGATCATGTCACTTCCCTGCTCAGGATAAGATTAATATTGATAGTAACTAATAATCTTGATCAAGAGCTTGCCCTGAGCTGGGCCTGTATGGAACATTTTAAATATATTTCCCTAGGCTGGGTGCAGTGGCTTATGCCTATAAATCCCAGTTCTTTGGGAGGCTGAGGTGGGAGGATGGCTTGAGCCCTCCCAGGAGTTTGATACCAGACTGGACAACATAGTAAGACCCTTGTCTCTACAAAAAATAAAAAAAAAATTATCTGGGTGTGGTGGCGCATGCCTGTAGTCCCAACTACTCGGGAGTCTGAAGCAGGAGGATCGCTTGAGCCCAGGAGTTCGAGGCTGCAGCAGTGTATCACTGTACTGCAGCTGGGGCTACAGAGACCCTGTCTCGGGAAAAAAAAAAAAAAAGAAAACAGCAACCCTCAAAACCCAAATACATTTCCTTATCTAGTTCTCAGCTGGACTCTTGCAGGAGGCAGTGTCAGGGATAGTTAAGAGCCTAGGCCCTGGCATTGATTGAAGGGGGTTTGAACGCCCCAGTCCTGCCACTAACTAGCAGTAGGATCACATTACCTCTCTGTGCCTCAGTTTCCCAGGAATCCAAATAGCCTCTACCTCATGGGGCTGTTGTGAAGGTTAAATGAGCTAAGAATGGGATGCTTAGCCTCGTGCCTGGCGCTGTGTCCACACTCACTGCTAGTGCTGTTGTTAGTGTGTGGAGGGGCACCTGAGTGTGCCTCCAAACCGTGCCAGAGACACGAGTGGTGCTGGCGGCATCCTTCAGATGGGAAGAGGAAGAGGGCCTGAGCATGGTGTTGAGGGCTGTGCGACTCAAGAATCTGCAGTTGTCAGGCAGGTGGAGAGAGCAAGGCCTCTGGCTGGGGCCAGGCTGTGCTGACTGGGCTCCGTGTCTGGGCTTCCCGGCACACCCGGAAAAGAGCAAATCCACTTCAGCCTGAACTGAGGCAGGCTGGATCCACTTAGAGAGGGTCAGTCTGGTTGTCTCCCAGTCAGTCTCCCATGGTGACCCTCTGTTAGGCCTGGATTGAGTCACTTTAATCTTGTTTGAACCGATCTGGACAGGTCCCATCCAATCTAGCTGGTTTGCTGTGGCTTAGACCAGACTGGCTGAGTTGGCCCTAGACCTCCTGCCCGTTCAGTTTGGTTGTCTGGTTTGAGACAGCCCAGGCACCTTGACCCAGACTTGCACCGACTTTGAACTCTTGAGCTCGATTTACTTTTAGTCTCAGTTTTTAGATTCCTCATTTTGAAGTCTCTGGGTTTTTCACTGGGGTTTCTGCTGTGGGGCTCCCATCCACTCAGTTCAGGAGGCCTCTCCTTTCCTCCAGGGCTCTTCTTCTGCTCCCGGTCCCCTCTTCTGCACTGGAAAGGGCTCGTGTTTGCCTGCTGATTGATAGCACCCTGCTAATACAGTGTTTTGAGTATTTTAATTTTTATTCGATTATTTCAAAGGGAATGTGGGAGGAGGGAGATCCCCATTGTGAACTAGAGCTGAGGGCGCTTCTCTTTTGTGGTATAATTCATGTACCCTAAAATCTACCCATGCTAACGGTTCAGTTCTGTGATTTCTGGTGAATTTTTGGAGCCGTGTAACTTCCCCCACGGTGCAGTTTTAGAACGTCTCCATCTCTTCAGAAGCTCCTTTGTGTCCACGGGCAGGCAGTCCCCCGTTGACGTGCATGTTGGTCTCTATAAATTTGCCTTTTCTGAATGTTTCCTAAAGATGGAGTCACACAGCTTTCTCCTTCCCTCGCCCTGCACACCTCCCTCCTTTCCTGGTCACTTCTTGCTAAAAGGCTGCTGGTGGCCACAGCTCCGCGTGTTCAGCCGTGTGCTGAATGCTCCCCTAGAGGCGTGTGCACAGTGGGGAGAGCAGCTGGTTCTGCTTGGGGTGGTCCAGGCCTGGGAACCAGAAGCACCATGTGAGCAGGGTCCTGAATGATGATGGGGTTGTGGGACAGCATGAGCAAGGCACCAACGCATGAGCTGCTTGCCTCTCTGTGCCTCAACCTCCCCACATGTAATAAAGTGTAATAGGTGGACCTCAGGATTGTTGGGAGGCTTAACGTTGAGTTAATGTATGTGAAGCACATGCACATGGCAGGTACCAGATGGGGTTAACTGTCATACAGGTTGTTACTGATGAGACAGTATGGTGCCCAGAGGAACCCAGTAGAATCAGTTTGTCCTCTTCCCCCAACCTTTGTTTTAAAACTAAGACCACAAACTCTAGTGTCTGCAAGGGCCAGGCAAACCCTGGCGTGGCTGCACCGGCCATGTGCGGAGAAAGGCACTTGCTCCAATCCAAAGGGCTCGCACTGCTCCGCCCAGCTGATGGTTGTCATGTGTATTGCCAGAAAAGTCAGAAATCCACAAATCTACATGAAATCTTCCAATTTTTAAATATTGGTAATTAATTAAAAAGGTATTAATACTATATAGAAGCCCAGCAACCTATGTTTGTGGGCCATATTTAGTCCGAAGGCCACCAGCTCATGACCTTTCTTTCAAGATCTCCTCTGGGGTGTCTGGTCAAGCCTGGCATAATTGTCTCCTGGGGGCAGGGATAAGTGGGTTTTGAAGACTGGTTCTCATGACCCCTTTGCCTTGCAGGAATTCTCCAGACAGGTTATGTCACCGGCAGAGGCTGCCCTGAAGCTCCCTGCAGCCTGGAGACTATGTATAAGAGGAATGGTCTGATGGCTAGCGTGTTGGTCACCTCCGCCACTCCGCAGGTACAGGGGCTGCGAGGACCGAGACAGCGCGCCGGCGGTGGGGTGGGGGGACCTGACCCAGGCCCCAGCTGAGGCAGGGACAGCAAGGCTGCAGGGCTTCATGAATACCACCATTCTTAGCACTCCCAAGGCCCCTGGCCACGCCAGGCGTGAGATTTGGGAGGCAGTCAGCCCTGAGGATCAGTATGTTTTCTGAAGTCGTTCTCTTCAAAGAAAAACAAATACCTGCCCCGTCCAGTTGTAGCAAGTGCCACATTCCATTTTGGTGGCAAGAAGGGATCAGACCTTTCCCAGGAAACGCCGCTGCTGATTACAAATAAGTCACACATTCTGGAATGAAGTCAGACAGAAGTCATTCCAGCTGGCCCTAGGTTCTTATTTACCTTGCTCAGTAGGAAATGGCTGTAAGGACTGGTGGTGTGGAGTGGCCTGGGCCAGGGCCCCTGCCGTGGGGTTTGGGAGTTTGCTGTCCCAGCTCAGCGTTGGCACAGAGGCGTGCAGAGCGGTGCCGGCCGAGGCCCAGGGTGCCGCTCATTGCACACGCAATGCCTGCTCCTCGGACGGGCTGGCAGGGCAGCGTCAGGGCTCTGCCTCACAAGGCCCCCATCGTCAAGCTGGGCTTTTGAAATGACCCTGGGTAACCAGCCAGAAAGAAGTGAACCAGTTCATTTCTTATAAACCTTCCAAAAAATTCCTTATTTTGATTTCTGGTCCTGAAATTGGACTTGCGGGTGCCTCTTAAAATTCCCTAATGGTGCCAACGTTGGGCTAAGTAGACTCGCTGCAGCAGTGGTAGCAGCATTATTGTTTTCATCAACACCCCCGAGTGTATTTGGGGCACCTTTTGATTAAAGAAGTCCCCTCGTATGAGTGTGTGTGCTTGGGCAAGTATAATGTGGCGTTACAGGAAAGCTGTAATTCCTGAAATCCCAGGAATGAACTCTGTTTGGTAGCTAGAGGAATCAGACTTCTGTTTCCATCTATGATTTACACTCCATCCAGAGGAACACTTCTTCCTTCTCTGGTCTGTGTGTATGTATATGAGTGTGTATATGTATGTGTATGTACATATATGTGTACACACTTGTATATGGTGTGTATGTGTGCATATGTGTGTATCCTGCACATGGTAAGTACTCAATAAATATTTGTCGAATGGCTCAATGAATGAGTACATGTATAATTGAAGTGCTCAATGAATTTTGGTAACTGAGTGACACATTTACAGCCATACACACCCATAATTTGGTGTTCACTATATACCAGGCACTTTTCTGCATGTTCCACAGGCATTTTTTCATTTAATCCTCATAGTACCCCTTCAGGTATGTGTAAGCTTTATCCCCAGTTTATAGACGAGGAAGCTAAGCCATAGAGAAGTGATCAAACTGGCTTCAAATCACAGCTTCCAGGTGGATGGGGATTGAAAGCCAGGCCTCCTGACTGTCGACCTGGTACTCCTCACCATGGCACTGTACAGGCCTCAGGAAAATCAGCCTTGTCACCCTCATTTAGCCTGCTTCCTGGAAGGTGGGTGCGGAGGTGCAGAATGATTTGTAGATAAGTGCTCAGGATCTGTCTGCGAGACCGGGAGATGGAGAAGACGGCCAATTTCAGGAGGATTCAGGAGTGAGCTTTATGACTTTTCAGAAGTTCATTCTAACACAGATTCTCCTCCAGGGGAGAGTGTCCTGTCACCTGTGGAGCCTTGAAAATGGCCATGCCTGAGCTCACCCCTGCCCCTTTGAACTGGCATTTCCAGGGGTTGGGGGAGGGGGTGGTATTGTGTCATTTGCTTTCTCAGCTTCACTTTATGCAACCTGTACTGTAACCCTGGGAAGTAGGTCTTAATATGACCATTTCTAGATGATAACCGAGACCCAGTAAAATGCAGTAGTTTGTCTGAGGTCAGATAGCAGTTGGTGCGGAGCTGGCCTTTTAACCAGGCCTGTCTGACTTCAGAGCTCTTAACCACTGTGATGAACTGCTTCTTAAGATCATCTTGGAGTTTCAGTGTAGTAGACTCATTTGTAAAGCCTTTTAGTGGCACAGCCCTGTCGAAATCTACAGGTTTAATTCCTGCTTCTCTATTTAACCTCACATTTCCAGTTGTTGACTATTGGTTTCCCTCACTGGCTTAAGAACACTCTAGTTTCCAGTAAGATTGCAAAGTTTTTCCAGATATAGCCATTTTGGAAAGAGTGAAATAAAGAAGAATTAATAAAAGCATATTCTGTAAATCCCAGGCCAAGATATTGAGGTTAATGGAAACCACAAAATCCTTCTTCATGTGTTGAGAAGAATAAAACCATTTTATGAACAGGGTGCAATTTTTGGGTGGTAAGCTAGATTGATTCCCAAAAGTAGAGTTTGATGAAATTAAATAAAATTAAAGAGAAGGTATGTTCAACATTCTGGGATCCCTATAGTGTTGGGTTTTGTGAAATTAGACACATTTGGGGAGTTTTAACTTTCTTTTTTATGGGAGACCCTTTTTTTATAGGCAGGACTCAGAGTGTTCTTCTTAACACAAGGGACTCTACTAAAATAACCTTCACACCAGTCTCCAAAGCCAATTGGTTACCTCTCAGCTCATCAGCTAGCAGGCTTTGAATTCCAAGTGGCCCATACAAGAAATAAGCCTCAAGAGCCATTTTTACATTTTACATAACAATTTCCTGCAGTGACTTCAAGTAGGAAAAAAAAGGTGAAACCAGGTAATGTTTTGAGAGCCATATGAAACAGATTATTTCCTCAGGCCTCCTAAGATATGAAGGTATGTTCTCTCTGAAGGAAGTTTGGGCTGTAATTTTTTTAACCCACTGCTAAACTGCTGGCCAGAAGCAGTTAGGGTATAGCAATTGCAGATATGTGTTTTGGGGTCAGTTAGATATGAAACAAGGTTCACATTCTGGCTCTACTTCCTTATCTGTAAAGTGGGAATAATAATAGTATGTACTCATAGTGGCACTCTTGAGAATTAAATAAGATCATGTACATGAAGTGCTTAGCACAGTGCCTGGAACAGATTGCTAAACGTGACACTTTCTTCATTGTGCGGTTCTGTCACTCTCCCATCCTCAGCTCCGAGGAGGTTTGGGAGCAGTGATCTCAAGCCACCAACTCAGTGGGCACCATCTCTCATCACTCTCCACAGGGCAGCAGCAGCTCGGACTCTCTGGAGGGCCAGAGCTGCGACTATGCCAGCAAGAGCTACGACGCCGTTGTCTTCGACGTCTTGAAAGTGACCCCAGAGGAGTTTGCTGTAAGTGACACATGGGTGGCTGGGCACCATGCGTGTGCGTGTGTGTGTGTGTGTGTGTGTGTGTGTGTGTGTGGTGTCAGTCATTCTCTGGGCCTTTTGCTCAGCTTGGAAACACCTTATATACCCAACAAGAAGGGAGTGTTGAATAAAGTATGGTACATCCATTATGAAATGTCATGCAGCATTAGAAAGGGTGCTGTCAATCTAGAAATTAACCACCTTGAAAGGCATACCCAATGTGTATATATGAACAGTGGAAGAAGCAGACTGTAGCACAATTTACAGAGAATATACCATTTTAAAAATCCATGCACAACACGCACATATATTTGCATACTGTTTAGATTTGATGTTTATATATTCATAAATATCTGGATATATATATATAGGCAAACATTACTTACTATTGTTTCTGGTTATAGATTCCAGGTAACTGGCATTTAATGTTTCTTCTTTTTGTTTGTTCATATTTCCGACATTTTTGCAAGGATCATTTTCTACAATGATAGACAATATTATTTGGGCAACTTTTAAAATTATAATTAAAAAAAATTGTTTTTTCTTCAAACAGTGTGCTGTTGCTGTTCTGACCAAGGGACTGTCCCTTGTGGCGGAGCAGGGTTGGCTTCTTATTTTGCCATGACTTGGTTTCCTCCTTTTGCCCTTTGAGGACAGAGGGAGCATACTGGCTCTGGGGTGCCTTCAAGCCCGATTGTGAGTGCTGCCCAAGGGCTGTATTTCTCTCTAGAACCATGGAAGTGTTTCCACCCATGCCCACTTCTTCCCTATTCCCCTTGCATAAGAGGGTTCATGTCCTGTGGGTGCCATGGGAGCTAACTGGGCCCCCGTCATTGCTCTGCCGTTATTGGCTTCCACATTTACTTTGTGCCAGTCCATGCTGAGCCTGGCACACGCATCATCTCTTTCATGCATCCAAGGGATCCTTTTAAAAACTGCTTCAAACTCTGCAATGGCTCCCTCCTACTAGAGTGAGATCCAGAGTTCCTCCTGAGGCCTCCAGCACATTGTGTGGTCTGGCCAAGCCTCTTCTCCTGCACTCAGCCCCCATTGCTCACCAGCTCTCTGCTGGCTACCTCTTTCTTCCCCAGACCCACCCAGATCCTCCTGCCCTGCTCTTCTCTTCTCCAGCTGTCTGCTCAGTCTCTCTTCAAATGTTAGTCCTTAGAGAGGACTTTCACTGAGCTAACATAGCATCTTTCCATCACTGCCTCTCCCCTTCATAACTTTTATTACTACCCAACATTATATACTAATAAATTTGTATTACGTATCTCCTCCACTGGAATATAAACTCTCTAAGGACACAACTTTATCTGACTTGTTCACCGCTTTCCCCCCACTGCTCCAGATATGCCTGGTGTATAGTAGTTGCTCAAGAAATACATCTTGACTGAAAGAATTCAATCCTCATCACAACCTGATGAGGCATATCATTAGCTTCCAGTTTTATGATAAAAAACTAAGGATCCAAGAGACTAATTGTCTTACATGGATCATATAGCCAGGTATTGGCATATCCATGTCTGAAAGCCTCATCTCCTAAGTATTGTAATGCTGGGGGGTAATAAGAGCAGCTCCCATTTTTTAATACCTACTTTGTTTAGATTTTTTTTTTTTTTTTTTGAGACAGAGTCTCATTCTGTTGCCCAGGCTAGAGTGCTGTGGCATCAGTCTAACTCACAGCAACCTCAAACGTCTGGGATCAAGCGATCCTCCTGCCTCAGCCTCCCGAGTAGCTGGGACTATAGGTGCGCGCCACCACACCAGCCTAATTTTTGTTATTTTTAGTTGTACAGCTAATTTCTTCCTATTTTTAGTAGAGACGAGGTCTTGTTCTTGCTCAGGCTGGTCTCAAACTCCTAAGCTGAACAATCCTCCTGCCTTGGCCTCCCAGAGTGCTAGGATTACAGGCGTGAGCCACCATACCCTGCCTTGTCTAGGTCTTATGTTAAATGTTTTACATGCCTTGTTTAATTTACTTTTCACAACAGCCTTATAAATGAGATAATTATTATTTCCAATTTGCCAATGAGCAAGTCAACACTTAGAGAAGAGGGTCACCTCTTTACACAGAGAGTAAGTGGCATAGCTGGGATTTAAAACCCGGGCTGTCTGACACTCCAGACCAGCACTATCTATGAGAAATATAATATAAGCCACATATGCAATTATAAATTTTTTAGTAGCCACGTTTACAAAAAATAGGTGAAATTAATTTTAATAACATGTTTTAACTCCACATATTCAAAAAATTATCATTTCAGCATGTAAACAACATAAAATTATTGAGATGCTTTATAGTCTTTTTTTCAAACTGAGTCTTCAGAATCCACTGTGTATTTTATACTTATAATACTAGCAATACTTCAAATGCTCAGTGGCCACCAAATGGGACAGGGCAACATCCGAGTCTGTACCCTCAGCCACAAAGTGGTATTGCCTCTCCTTTAGAAGACGTCATAGACCCTGCAGGCTGATGGCCTGGCTTCCATATTCTATTTGTGCATGTTTGCCAGTTGTATTTTTAAGAGTTTTGTTTTTTAGCTTCCTGAAAGGAATGCAGCAACGTGAGTCTTAAAAAATCCCCTTATAGCTCTTCACCAAGTGGAATGGCAGAGAGTTAGGCTATATCAGATAAGAGTATTGCCTAACGGTACTCCTTGGTGAAACTCTGGGCTTGGTTTCCTAGCCTTAGCCTAGAGCATTGCTTGGCCTGTCTCTTTATTAAACTAGTTTGGTTAATAAATGGAAAAGAAATGATAGAATTGGAATGTCATCGTTTTGTAATCCCGGTGAATGAAGAGATCTAAGCAGTGAGTATGGACAGCCACCAACATCACAAAAGGGGAGCCATTATGCACTTCCTGGTGAAACAAGGGACTGGCACCTCCAGTCTTGCCAAAGGGACAAACCTATGTCACAGCAAGCCTCTGGGTCCAGCTGCTGATTTAAAGGACATACCCAGGACGAAGAACACATTGACCTGCTCCATAAGTGTGGGGAGCCATGTAGGTCAAATGGCCTGGATTCTTCAACGGATACATTATAAGCATTATAAGGGGATGGAGAGAATATTTGTAGATTAAAGGAGATTTAAAAAGCACACATTAAATATTTTAAAAAGTGGGTAAGACTACACTGTGATGCCAAGGTATATATATTTGGGTGACAAAATTTTAAAAACAAAACTTGAGGAAAGTCAGGATAGCTGGAGTATAGTGGCATGATCACTGTAACTTCAAGCTCCTAGGCTCACGTGATCGTCCTGCCTCAGTCTCCTGAGTAGCTGGGGCTATAGGTGCATGCCACCATGCCCGGCTAATCTTTAAAAATTTTTTTGTAGAGACAGTGTCTCACTATGTTGCCCAGGCTGGTCTCAAACGCCTGAGCTCAAGTGATCACACCAGCCTCTCAAAGTGCTGGCATGACAGGCGTGAGCCACCACAGCCAGCCAAGTGGTTACTTTTGTTGGGAGAGAAGGACTTGCGATTGGGACCCATCACATGGAAGAACTTTTGGGGTGGCTCTTTCTTTTTTTTCTTTAATTGTGATAAAATATAACATAAAATTTACTGTCCTAACCACTTTTAAGTGTAAGGTTCAGTAGTGTTAAGTACATTCACATTGCTGTGCAACCAGTATCCAGAACTGTTTTCATTTTGTAAAACTGAAAGTCTATATCCATTGAGCAACTCCCCATTTCCTCCTCTCCTGATCCCCCGGCAACCACCATTCTACTTTCTCTCTCATTTTGACTACTCTAGTGACCTCATAAAAGTGGAATTGTACCATATTTGTCTTTTTGTGACTGTCTTATTTCATTTAGCAGAATGTCTTTGTGGCTCATCCATGTTGTAGAACAGGGGTCCTTAAACTTTTTAAACAGGGGGCCAGTTCACTGTCCCTCAGACTGCTGGAGAGTGTGCACTGTGGGCCCGGGACGAGTTGGCTGCTAAGCAGGACAGGCAGTGGTGGCAAAACGACCGGCGGGCCGGATAAATGTCCTAGGCGGGTGGCAGGTGGCCCGCAGGCCGTAGTTTGAGGATGCCTGTTGTAGAATGTGTCAAAATTTCCTTCCTTTTTAAGACTAAATGATATTCTGTTGTTTGTATATAACACATTTTGTTTATCCATTCCTCCATCCGTTGGGGTGGCTATTTCCTGACCTAGTGGTGGCTAAAAGGTTCCTTTCATAAGAAGTCATTAGCCATGCAGTTGTTAATGTGGTTTTCTGTAAATATGTGTTATTTTGTAAGAGGATTAAAATCCTTTCACTGGTCCCCATTTTTTTGCCAGGGATATTCTATAGCTCTCTCTCGGTCTTTCTACTTCCCCAATGGCTGAATCAGAATAAAAAGCAATGCTGGAACCTGTGTTTATCATTAGTAGATCATGGACATCCTTCCAGGTCAATATATGTAGATTTAATTTACTGTTCTTAATAGCTGCATAATATTCCAGTGTCTGGATGTACCATAATTTTTCTCAACAAGTCCCTTTTGGTAACCTTTCAGGTGGTTTCCAGACTTTTACTACTACAAATAGTGTTACATTAAACATCTATATTTATATCTGTATGTATATCTGCAGTGTATAATCTAGATCTATATATAAAGTGCTTTTCTTTCTGTGTCAATAATATGCTCATTTCACTTTTTAGGAGATAATATCTAAATGCAATGCATGATCCAGGATCAAGAAAAAGTTGCTATAAAAATAGTATTGGATAATTAGCAAATCTTGAATTTGGACTGTGTATTGAACAATACTATTGTATCAATGATAAATGTCCTGAATGTAATAATTTGGAATAAATTTGTCATCATGTAAGAGGGTGATCTTTTCTTAGGAAATACATGCTGAAGCATTTAGCAGTGAAGAGTCATAATATCTGTATGTATTTTAGTCTCAAATGGTTCAGAAAAATGTGTGTGTATAATTATATAGATGGAGATGTAACAAATACGACAAAATGTTAGTAATTAATGAAGCTAGGCAAAGGGTTATGAGAGTTGACCATATTGTTTTTGCAACTTTTGTGTAGGTTTGACATGTTTTTAAAATAAAATACTAACTTTTTAATGTGTTCCTGCTATATGACTTTCATAGGCCCATCAGTTAGTGATGGTGCTGATGGACAGGGAGTGGTATCTTCCTGTTTAATTTTCATTTCCTTGACAAGTGCTTCCTGTGGCTCTGGAAGTCAGAGCAGGAGCTGATTAACTTTTATTCTGTGAGCCCTCCTGGTCATGGCTTGGTGGAGGTGATCAAATGCAAATTTTAAGGTATCTTCTGTTACTAAACATACTAGTGATTTGCCAGCAGCTTTTTTTATTTGTTTATTTGGGGTCTTGTAGACCCTTATACTAAGGGCCAGGTCCTGCCTCACTTCTCAGCCGGCTGGCGGCCATCTGGGGGCCCTGCCCCTCCCGCAGGAGAGAAGCCCGGCTTCCTGGAGAGAAAAAGCATTCCCTAGGGGTGTGCTACAGCTGGGAAGAGAGGATTTACTTGGCCACTGCTAGAGAGGAGAAATACTGCATTCAACACAGGCAAACAACATTTTTTTTTCTTTTTGGTTAACCAAGTAGCTTTCATTTATCCACACAACAGCAGTTGTTTTCTTTGGGGCCACACTGTGAGGTGCTCCAATAGGTCTCTCCACTCTGTGGTGTTCATCTCTACAGAAACGGCTGGTGATATGTGGAGTTTGGGTATTTCCCTTAAAAGTCTGGATTTTTAGAGCCCTGCACCGGGAGGAAGGAGGAGATGGGAGGAAGGACTAGGACTAGGGAAGGGGTTGCTAGGTGACAGCTTAGCTGGACATCTGTGTCAAGACTTTATTTCTTAAAATAAGGATAAGCCATTAAGAGACTTGTTGATGAGGATTCTTGTTCAGCCCCACTGCTGGGCAGCCTTGCTTCTTGGAAACAAGAGTGGGAGCCGCATTGTTTCAGGCTTCTGTTGAGGCTGTAGCACACCCCTAGGGAACGCCTTTTCTCTCCAGGAGGCCGGGGCAGCTCTCCTGCGGGAGGGGCAGGGTCCCGAGATGGCCCTGAGCAGGCTGTGAGTGCGCAGGACCTGCCCTCACCCCTCACGCCCTGATACCCACACTCTCCCTTTTTGGCAAACCTGGCTGCCTTGGAGTGTGCAACCTTGTGGGGAAGGATTGCTCATCAGCAACCTTTTTTCTTCTTTTTATTTCAACTATTTCCTGGTCCTGTGCAATCAGCAACCTTTTAAACACGTGTTTGGCTTTGTAGTGAAATAGCATGAAATTTAAAATCTGATTTTTATGTAGATATCTTATGTCAGTATTTCCTCTCTCTGGATGCTGAATCTTTTTTGGTGAGAGCTGAGAGGACAGAAATGGGAGCAATTCTTTTGAAAACCCTCGTTATATGTTTAGAACTAGTTAGTCTATTTTAAGGCTGGTGACCTCTGTTGTTGTTTGTTTTGAATGAAACACCTGAACACATTTTCTGACTTACGGTCATAAGAAAAGACCAGAATATTTGAAACTTGGACCATCCAAAAAGTATGAAATGTAATGTCACTACTTTAATAAATCATCTGGAAATTCAGTGGCAAATGCTAGAACCGATGGCAGGATGGAAAGGAAGTTTTCTCATTTTCACATTAGCAGACTTTTGGTTCTTTTCCTAAATGACATTGCAAACATCCTGTCGGTTCTCCCGGATAGGGAGTTAACTTGAACTGCAGGGGAGATTTCCAAGGCCCTCTGAGCTTTCAGCTCAAATCTCCTGTCTTCACAAGGCCTTTCTGTTCCCCAGGATGGCAGAATTAATCCAAATGTGAGGAGCACTTGGCTAACAATCTTGATGGGTCTGGCAGAAGAAATGCCAGTCTGCTTCCTGCCCGGAACGTAGCTCTGGGCTCGGTAGCTCTAGGCCAGACCTGGGCCTTTGGGCCTTCAGAGCTTACTAGCCACTCAACACCCAGACTGTGAGGGCCAGATACACGTTATGCTGATGTCAAATGCCCCTTTGCTACTGGTGGATGGAACCCAGAGGTCAGAGAGCTCGGGTTCCCCTCCAGTGCTTCCTTTCCCTGGTGCCATCCCCTGTCTCCCAGCCGGGCTTCTGTTAATGGCAGCATTTCACCCTTGTGCCCGTGTGGAGCACTAGCCCCTGGGCGGGGGCAGAGAGGCTCTCCACTGGTGTACCCACCCTTTCCCTCCACTCAGCCCTGAGTGTCCTGTGCTCCTCAGGAACCCAGTGGCCTTGGACCACCTTTGAATTGTGCCAGGAGCTGACCACAGTTCTGCATCTGAATTGTGGTCACAAGTGACACACTTGTGTATTGCCATTTCTCTGCAATATATTCTTGGCATGAGGCTTTTTGCTGGCTCAATGAAACAGACTTTTAAAACTTTTCTCTAGAGCAACTTCAGTGCATGGATATTCAACCAGATTAATGGTCCCTTATTTCCTAGCTTATGTATTGGTCAGGAACCATACATTCACATGCTAATATGTGAGCTTATCAGTGTGGTTTCCCATTTGACAAACACACACACACACACACACACACACACACACACTCTCCTATTTATTTATTGCATATCTGTCAGGTGCCAAGCATTCTGTACCTCTTGTGTTGAATTTTCACCGACACCCTATAAGATTGAGATTATTGTCATCGTTTTCTAGACGTGGTACTTGAGACTGGGGAAGGGTAAGTCATGTGTCAAAGAGGACACACACACCCTGTAGATTCCAGAGCCCAGGTTTGTTTTCCTGCATCCTGGCACCTCAGACGGCCTTGCGTTCAGTGGACAGGGTATCTTCTCATGTTAATAGGTGTCCCTAGGCCCTCCCTGCAGTTCCCTGGCCTGCCTGTCACAGAGGCATCGGCTAGCTGACATCTGGCATCCTGGGTGACGTGGAGGTGGGTGGGTTATAAGAAGTCAGCTCAGCCCAAGCCTGGGCCTGAAAGATGGTCAACAGTGATGCCTCCTACTGTCACCAGGCAGGAACAGCCTTTCAAACTGGTATGTGTTTCCTAGACATTTGTGCCTCTTAAGCAAGCTAGCTGTGGTAATGGACCAGTTTTTTTCATTTCCAATCTGTTGAGGACTGATACTTAAAAAAGAAAACCACACACACATTAGAAATGTCATGGCTGTGTCCATCACTGTAGAAGTTCCGCACGCTTGCCCCAGCATCTGTACTTAGCTCGTTGCAGGCCGGTGGAGTAAGCAGTGCGTGGCCTCGTGGGGTCTGTGGATGTATCTTGAGTAGTGCCCTACCATGTAATTTAGGGGCAGCATAGGCTTCAGAATAAAAGTATAATTTCTATAAGCCACAGTTTTAAAATAAATTTAACTTTAGTAGATAGTGTCTCTGTTTAGCATTCCAATTTTTAATGTTGTGTCTACAACTTTTAAAAATTACAAAAGTAGTTCATGCTTGAAACAAAAATCCCAATAGTACAAAAATTTCCAAAATAAAAATGTTCCCCTTACTCTCAGCCCCACCCTCCAAACTACTATCATCAATTTTTAAATTGAAAGTTCATCTCACATTCAAGAAAGAAGGGTGTGGATCAAGATTTATGAAGAGGGAAGGGGTGGGAAAGGCATTTCGGAAATTTACCCAATTTTTTATTCTGTTCTGCCTTGTTTTTTATTTCAAAGGGGAAAGCATAACTTTTATGAACGTACATTACTCTGTATAGACTAAAAATAACACGACAGTTACCTTTGATGTACAGTATTTTCTAACATCCATTCTCTCTGTTGCAGAGCCAGATTACATTAATGGACATACCCGTGTTTAAAGCCATCCAGCCGGAGGTCTGTACTTTGTCCTTTATACTCTTCTGTTAATGCTGTGGCTGGGAAGACAGGATGTAGTCAGCCACCATGAGAGTGCCTTAGTTTCATGGTTTCTCTCCGCAAGTCTCTATAAATGCATGTTCTTGACTGAAACCCCATTCCGTTCTCGACAGTGCTCATTTTCTGAGCCCTGTGTTCGGGTTCTCCAGAGAATATCCCCTGTCTGGCCTCTGGCAGGGCCGGGATCAGTTGGTGCCCAGAAGCCTCCATGCCTGAGAGTCAGTCTTGACACACTAATTCGTTTACCATTGCCAAAAATGTCAAGAAGGGGATATACGAGAACGTTTTTCTAGAGAGCTTTCTTTTTGTTGATCCCAAGTTCTGGTGGTTGCCATGTTTCTGTTTTTGAAACCAGTTGCCACAGCAAAACACATACATATTTACATGAAAAGCATATGTACACTTTTAGAAACAGCATATTGAATAAAGGGTAAAAAGTTGATTTTGGTCTTTAAAAAAAATTCCTGGAAATGTTTGGTAATTGATAATGAAGCTTTGGTTATTTTACTTAGGGTTCTTTTTGTGTTAGTTAGTAAACAAAAATCCATTTCAAAGTAGTTGGATAGGCAGCAGAGGAATTTATCACAAGGATAAAGGGGCACTTCACAGAATCACGGGCACGGAGTCCAGGCAGCCTGGACTGCTGCCCGGGACGCATGTGGGCCCAGCTTCCTGCTCTGCTTTGCCGTCTCCTGCCCTCTCCTGCCGGCTTTCCTGCCTGCACACGTGGTCTGACTTGGCCTCCCCAAAGGGCCCTCGTGTGCATGATCCCCATTCAAGTCACCATCCCGGACTAAGACCAGCGGCTTTTGGTGCAGGCCAGCTTAGTCATGTGCCCAGTGTCAGCCCTGTCACTGAGGACCAAGAGTACATGGTCAAGACCAGCAGACAGGGCCTCGGGACCCGGCCTTGTGAGTGAAGGGCAGACTCAGAGGAGGGGTTGTGGGTGGGGAGATGCATCACACAGCGCCTACTGTAGCCTTGGTGTGAATTCCAGAACACTCTTAATGCCTTTCTTAAGGTACTGCCACCATTAGGAGTTTGAGAAAGACAAGCATATCTTAACACAAAGCCAGACAAAGTATCCAGGCCTTCTGAGAGCTGGTGTCTAGTCTTCTACAAGTTAGGAAGAAACTAGTGCCACTAGCTTCGCTCAGCACTTATATGATTTGTATTTTTGTGTGTGTGTGTCCGTGTATGTTGTATTCATTAGGGTTGGGGAGCAGAGCTATGTTTGCTTTTTTTGAATTGGCTGACTTCCAGTCGTTTTCTGCTTTGTTCTAATGTGGAATGATCCATTCTTTCTAATTAAAAAACATCCACTCATTGCCTCTTGGAGCCTTTTGAGGGAGTAGTTGTGTGATGGTTGCCTTAGGTCTCAGTTGAAGCTATTTCTGATCATGTTCTCTTCTTGGCTTTGATCTGGAGCAGTTTAGACATTTGGGGCTTTATTCTTTCCTGAACATCAAGGAGGGCAGCTCAGCCTGCCACGAGCCCTGAACCTGCATGTGCCCAGGGGACTGGGATCACTGCCCAGGCTGTTGGTAGGAGGGATGGGGATGGGGGCTTCTTTCTCTCCAGATGCACAACTAGGGCCAGACCAAGGCTTTCCTCCAGGGCATTGCAGTTGGAAGGTGCCTCCTCAATGCATATCTTGCTTCAAGTTGTGACAAGACATTAAAGGAGAGATGTTTTGTTTTCTAGATGGCAGCTTGTAGCAGTGGTTCGCAAATGTGGCTGCACATCAGGATCACCTGGATAGTCTTGGAAACTATCCAAGTCTGGAAACTATCCAGGTCTGGGATCTGGGTGCCCAGATCCCACCCTAGACCATTAAACCTGAATCTCTGGGTTGGGGTCTGGAACCTAGTCAACTCTATTTTGTAAACATTTGCCAGGTGATTTTGATGCAGAGGGAGGATTCAGAACTAATTGGTTTGAGGTTTCTGGAGAAACCCCAAACTTGAACATCTTGGGTCTATAACATGTTAGCTAAAAATGGAAGAGTTTTTTCCTCATTGTCAAAACTGTGGTGAAAGAAGGACCCTGGGAGCTTCTCCAGCTTTTTTGCTGCTGCTGTTATTGTCAGCAGACTGAAAACTGGGACTTTTCCTCTTGGGGCTGCCTGCCATGTTGTGGCTGGACCACCCCGGAGTTGGAAGGGCAAGAATAAGGCACAGTTGTAAGTTTGATGTAGGCAAGACTTTCCAGGAAGCAGAGGCCAGCGTCTGAGAGCAAGATGGGCACTGCAAGTGACCTGGGCTCCCAGGAAGTCAGGAAACCTGTGGACTGGAGCCCTTCAACCCTGGTTGTGCATCAGAATCAGTTTGGGAACTCTGTAAAAAAAAATACAGATGCCTAGGCATCATCCTTGGAGATTCTGATTGCTTAGCTTTAGAGTGGGGCTCGGGAATCTGCTTTTGAGCAGCTCCCCAGCAGTACATCAAAGATGAGGACAGCAATGTAGATGATTATAAGACTGATAGCAATTTGCTTTGTGAAATTCTAACTCTCTAAAGATTTTTTTCTTGTCTAGTTACTAAGATCACTCTCAATTCAACCCACATAGATAACAAGAATAATATTGGCCATGGATCCTGTATTGATTTGAGCCAGGGTTTGGATTTGAAATCCAGGATTTGAGCGAGGCCCAAGTGCTCAGCTACTGTGCCAGACAGGTGTGGCCTGACAGGTGCGTGGCAGGACGGGCTCCCACGTCTTCCCCTGTGGAAACGGCCGTCTTATCGCGGCTCCGTTGTCTGGGACATGCTGGTTATGAGCCCTTCCCAGGCCTTTGAGATTCTTCACAACTGGGGAATTTATGCTGGTGGGGTTTAGATATGGCAGTTTGGCCTTCTGGGGTTTCCCTAGAAGGCATTGGCCACTTCTGGTTGGTCTTTTCCCAGCCTGCATCAGGTCTCTGGGTCCTCCCTCTTCCCATCACGCCATGTGCCGACTCTGTGCTTGTTAACGAGGAGCTGGGGTATTTAGCTTGAAGAAAAGCAGGGTCCTGAGGGATGTGAGCCTGCCTTTGGAGACCTGAAAGGCCTTGAGCAGGCTGTCGGGAGCTACAGCGAGACCTGGATGCTTTGGGGTGGTGTTAGGGGTGGTCCTGGAAGAGGAGTTTTCTAGGTTTGGGGATTAGCATGCACAGAGGGTGTGGTCAAGGAGAGGTGTGTGGATGGAGAAGTGGAGATGATTTGGATGTAAAGGCTTCTAAAGCTCCCCGTCCCCGGCCATGGGGGTCCTGGAGTCTCTGGTGCTGCCAGGAAGGCAGCTGCCAGTGGTGGAATGGTGCGCGGTGGCCCTGCCCACCCAGGCCTTTGCCCCTGTGTCCTTGTTTGGCTTGCCAGCCCTCTGGGCCTTAGCCCTGAGTACCCGGGGCTCACTGCCTGAGCACTGACTGTGTGCAGGCTCTGGGCCAGGCACCTTAGATGCAGGGTCTCATTTAGTCCTCACAACAACCTGCTCTATCTTTGTTTTATATGTGAGGAAACTGAAGTTCAGACATGTTAAGTACCATAACTTGCTCCATGATTCCTGTATTAGTCCTCTGTTGCTGTGTAACAAATTACTCCCACACTTAGCAGCTTAAAGCAATAAGCATTTATTATCTCCCACATTTTCTGTGGGTGAAGAATCTAGGAGTGGCTTGGCTGGGTGGTCTTGGCTCACGGTCTCTCAGGAGATTGAAGTCAAGATGTTGGCTGGGACTGCAGTTATCTAAAGGCTCGACTGGGGCTGGGAAATCTGCTTGCAGGGTGGCTCGTGCACAGTGAGTGCCTGGCTGTCAGCAGGAGGCCTTAGTTCCTTGCCATCCGGACCTGTTCACAGGGCTGCTGAGTGCCCTTAAGGCATGGCAGCTGACTTGCCCCAGAGGGAGTGACCCCAGAGAGCAAGATAGAAGCCACAGTGACTTTTGTGACCTGGCTCAGAAGTCACATCCTCTCTTTTGCACAGTGTCCTACTAGTGTCACAGATCAGCCCCCTGTAGCGAGTGGGGCACCATACAAGCCTGGACACCAGCAAGTAAGAATCGTTGAGGGACATCTTGGGAGCTCCTCCCGCAGGCCTCAGGTCAGAGGTCAAATTCAGGTAGTCTGAGTCCAGACCTTTAGTAATTCTGACTCTGCTAGTCCCCAGCTGTGTGACCTCGAGTAAATCACTTCACCTCCCCGAGTTTCAGTCTGCACATTCACAGAGTGGGGATGGCAAGGGCACCTCCCTCGTAGGGTTATTTGGAGAATTAAATGAAAAAAATGCAGGTAAAGTACTTCACATGGAGCCTGGAACCTAGTAAAACTTAACGCCAACCTTTTTGGAATGCGTAGAACATACAGGCATTGTGCTGAGTGGTTAAAGACTTTATATGTGTTACCTCATTTAATCCTCCACTTACCCTGGAAGGTGCAATGGTTATTCCATTTATAGGTGGAGAATTTGGCACAGAGAGGTGATATAACTGCCTGAGCAACTTGTCACAGCAAGTAGGTGATGGGAGTAGGGTATGGTCCCTGGCAGTAGGAGTCCAGAATTTACAGATATTATTCCTGTTATGGTTGTTGCTGTGACTATTCTTGTCATGCACCAGTACCCCTTTGCGTCAGTCTCTGGCTTACCGTAGAATAAATGCCTTGCCCCAGCCCCTACCCTGCCATTCTCCCATCTTTCTACCTCTCAGTTCCCCTTCCTCTCCTTCTCATTCTTTTAAAACATTTCTTATTGTTAGAAATTTCAAATACACACACACATACACACGCCATATATATATATATATATAGAGAGAGAGAGAGAGAGAGAGAGAGAGTGGTAAAATGAACCCTATTACCAAGATCCAATAATTGCCATATTTGCTTTATTTACTTCTTTTTCCTTTTTATTTATTTTTGGATATCTTTGAAAGTAAATACCTCACATCCTATTATTTCCCTCCTTCAAACTTCAGATGTAGCTCTTAA